GACCTGAGCCGAAGGCAGTCGCTTAACCAACTGAGCCACCCAGGCGCCCCACTCCAAATATATTTTTTAATTTTTAATGCAACACCAGTATAATTGTCTAGCCTGTTATTTATTTCATGTATCTGCTTGACATTTTTTCCCAGATATCTCTATATCAGTATCTGTGTGTTTTGTTTTAGATAAAAGATTTGAGGACCGTAGGTGCTTTTTTCGCAAAACCTAATCAGTCATCACATTTGGATATAAGCCTAAAATGGTGACCTTTTTATTTTATTTTTTCGTCTGCAGGAAGAGTAAATAACTACACAACCGATTAAAAACACGAGAGTAATTCTGAGGGTCAGGGATGGAATTTTGGGCTCCCCAGTGGCCGCGGCAGCCATGGGGGAGGCCCACAGCACGAGCAAAGGATCCAAGCCAAGGGCTTCGGAGAGATGGAATTCATCGGCCCGTTCCTCACTCTTGGCACAATGGAGAGAGGTACCACGGGAGCCCCCCGTCACAGCAGGACCCCAGGACAGACCACCAGCAGCCCTGTTATGTGTCCAGGCCTGGGGAAAGGCATCATCAGCCTGTGTCCGGGGTTGACTATTATGAAGGTGGTTATCCCAGTCAGTTGTATTCAAGGTATGGTTCTAGAGCTTGGAATTCACCCAACTCCTAAGTGCTTCTGAATAGACTATTCCTTTCCTTCTTCCTTTTCTTTTTTTTCCTGCTCTTTTTCTTTTATTTCCTCCTCTACCCGATTACATTGACTTCGCTAAACACTTTCCTCTCCCACATTGGAGTTATGTGACGGAAAATAGTATTTCTCTCCTCTATGTCCCCTCGTGGGGCTTCTTGAAGAGGCTATGACAATGTGACTGGGTGTTGGGGCCAGGGCAGAGGGTAGAAAGAATGGTGGATTCAAGGCAGCAGATGAGCCCCTCTTACTCTGGGATTGCAAAAGGTAATATTTGTAGATTTTGGAAAAGTTTGTCCTAGAAATTCCTATAAAAAGTTCTTAGCATTGTGAGTGTTGACACCACCAGCACCAAGAAGAGACCCTGTGCCTAGAACAGAACTTAGGGTGTGATAGACACACAGAACACATATGTATTGGATGAATACATGGAACATTTTAGAAAATGAAATCAACCTCAGAGAAAGCAGGTCTAGGGTTGCAGGCTCCAAGTTCAGAACGAAGAGGTATCAGTGAGGTGATTCTAGGAGAATCTGGAATTCCTATTCCCGAATTCTAATTGATAGCAGAAGATTTAATATTTTATGGAATATTTGAAGCCATCTATGTTCCACTTTGGCTTTTCCAGGTGGGATATTCACCTGCCTACAGATTTAGGGTTGAAATAATGACAGTTATTGTAAAGCATTTGCTCCTATTAAATACTAAAGAATTAGTAATTGATAAAAAGACTAACAGCATGATATTCCTTTCCCCAATCTTTTTGTATTGAATTCTCAAAGGAAAGTATGTTAAGGGCAGAGGCAATAAAGGCAATCAGATTTAAGAGAGTCCAATGTGACTTCTTCATCTCATTTCCATCTGTATGTAATATGCATGGGAATTACAGTGGTGTATCGGGTACCTACACAGTCATCTGAGGAAGGGGCATTCTAAGATAACATCAGGGAAGGGTAGGGGCGCCTGGATGGCTCAGTCAGTTGAGCATCCTACTCCTGATTTCGGCTCAGGGCATGGTCTTGGAGTTGTGAGATCAAGCCCTGCATCGGGCTCCGTGATCAGCACAGAGTCTGCTTCTCCATCTCCCTCTGCTCCTCCCCCTGCTCACTCTTTTGCTCGCTCTCTCTCTCTCAAATAAATAAATAAATAACTAAAATCTTTAAAAAAATCAGGGCAGGGTTTTCTAAGATAACATTGTGTATTGTTGGATGTATTTGAAGAGTAGGAGGAATCACAGGGAAGGAGAATGAGACACTTGGCTATGGTTTTGCTATAAAAATCCCAACCTTGTTCTGAAACAAAGGCCCTACTTCTGCTCTGATTCTGCATCTTCTGTTTATAGGATCTAGAATTAACTGTGGTTTTAAAGCGGGTTCTAGACTGAGGTCACAGTTTTGTCCTGTGAAGTTGTCCAGTCCTCCACTGGTTTCTCTTTACCATCTCATCCTTGACTGGCTGGCCTTCTTTGCGGTATTTTAGGCCAGGCATGGAGGATCTGTATCGGAGCTATCATTCTTCAACCCTAAGGGAAGAATATGCTTATGGAAATTATTACTACCATGGACACCCGCAGCAGCTGCAGGAAGAAAGAGGTATGGAATAATCTCCACGGAGCCTTTGGGATGGTACAGCTGATCTGGTAGGCAGGGCCTGCTCAGAGCCTCACCTTGGCTATCCTGCTCCGCTGAGGTAGAGCCCCTGTCCTCACCTGCTTCTTTCTTGGCCAGATGAGGCCACAACAGGTCACAGCAAAGACACTACTGCTAGATGTCTTGAGAAGAGACTGAAAGGAGCCATTTTTCTTGTACGTGTCGGTGATAGTACGGAACCTACCATTACGTTACCAGGATTATGGATAGTTCACACTTCAACCCCGTTTTTTCTTCTGCTCCTCCTATAGCCAAGATTATAGTCTCTGACCAAGTAACAGTGAAGTCAATTCTTCTTTTTAAATTTAAATTCAATTAGCCAACATAGAGTACATCATTAGTTTTAGACGTAGTGTTCAATAATTCATCAGTTGCATATAACACCCAGTGCTTCTCACATCACGTGCCATCCTTAATGCCTGTCACCCAGTTACCCCATCCCCCTACCTACCTCCCCTCCGAAACCCTCAGTTTGTTTCCCAGAGTCAAGAGTCTCTCACGGTTTGTCTCCCTCTCTGATTTCTTCCCATTCAGTTTTCCCTCACTTCCCCTTTCATTCTCTGCACTATTTCTTATATTCCACATATAAGTGAAACCATATGATAATTTTCTTTCTCTGATTGACTTACTTCGCTTAACATAATCCCTTCCAGTTCCATCCATGTCGATGTAAATGGTAGGTATTCATCCTTTCTGTTGGCTGAGTAATATTTCATTGTATATATGAACCACATCTTCATAATCCATTCATCTGTCAGTGGACATCTTGGCTCCTTCCACAGTTTGGCTATTGTGGACATCGCTGCTATGAACACTGGGGTGCAGGTGCCCCTTCGTTCCACTACATCTGTGTCTTTGGGGTAAATACCCAGGAGTGCAATTGCTGGGTCATAGGGTAGCTCTATTTTTAACTAGTGAAATCAGTTCTTAGCAATGCGGTTGTCCAGTGTGGCTGGGCTGTGATGAGTCTGACCATCATCGACCTTGAGGGTGGCAGAGAGGCACCAACAGGAATTTATACCCATTACTGATAATAAGGTTCTAGGGATGTGCTGTTGGCAGCTTCTGACCTGCCAGCCAAGGGAAATCTGTTTCAACACTGAACACACACACACACACGATCTCCATGCTTATACAATTGTATTGAGCCATGCTAGTTGGTTCAGGGAGGACTGAGAGGTGTCTTGCTGACCTCCATCATTAGCTCTCACTTCTCTAGTGTATCCAATTTGGCAAATACGTTTTCATACCTATGGTGCTCCAGTAACTCAGCTTCACAGCTCGAGGCAGTGAGGCCTGATCTTTTAGGAGTAGGAAGTGACCCGTCTTCATTTTTGTTTTCTCTGAGGGTGCAGTGCCAAGGGGAGAGAGTCCTTATATCTGGCAGGAAGATCACCGAGATCAGAAGTACCTCAGTGAGCAGCATCACGACAACCAGAGTACTCTGTAAGTGTGAAAGGAGAGGCCAGCTCAACATGGTGCGGCCAAACTCAGGCTATGTTAGGCAAGTCTTATGGCGTCTGGTGCTTGTCTCTATTTTCAGAACCCTGTCTGCTTCTGTTCTGGCCATAGGGATGTGGAGTAGCCCAGGGTGACCCAGGCCAGCTTTCAGTGGAGTCTTAACTTTGACAGGTGGCTCCCAAACGTGGGGTCATCTGAGTCCTGGTGAGGTTACTTGAGGTCCACCCCACAGGAGGGCCTTAATTCTATGTTGGCCTCAGAGCAGAGGTGCCCTTGCAGAAGTTGTCAGAATTGGGTCCTGGCTGAAGCTGGGGCATTTCTCCTCTGCCCACTCCTGTGCCCCGAGAATGGGATGTGCCCTGGGGTAAGGTGGGCAGAAAAGAGCCTTTTGCACAAGCACCTGCCCCAATGACCTTAGGCCTAGTGCCTTTACCTTGTCTGCCCAACTCGCCAACCCAGCTGCTCTGATTTAAGTCAGTCCAGGATGACTGGCTGTAGGGACCAGCCCCTTTCCACAGGGTTTGGGGTGACTTCTAGTAACTGCACTGTGGAACCCAGGAGTTCCTGTTTTTCTCGTATTCATAGATCAGGGGAGCAAAGGGAGGACAGCCCTTTTCCCTGTGGCACTCAGGACAGCCTGATGCTGCCCACACTTTGCAGCCCAAGAGCCTCCGTGGAGAGCAGCTCAGGTTTGCTAGCTTACCCAGGACCCCCCTTACCTGCTGCCGTCATTTTGCTGCAGATCCAAGAGTCAGAACCCTTATAAAGACAGCGCTGCTTCTAACACTGGACAGGAGCGGCCTGAGGACCTAGTTCCGGAGAGGCTGCCACCTGGAACCCAGAAGAATAAGGTAATCTGAAGTGATGTGGGGGCTGTGGGCTGTGACAGTCACAACCGACACTTGAATCAGTGGCAGGGCGGGGCCTTTGGGAGGGGGTTGTCCAGCGGCCAGCAGTCTGAGGAGTCCCATCCTCCCCTCTTTGCAGAGCCTCCCCTCAGACCTCCACCTTTTCCTGCCGCCCTATTTCAATCTTATGGGTCTGGGGCCCCGATCTGGCCCTTTTGCATTTTTGTCAAATTGACTGGAGCAGGAAATGTCACCCAAGTCGCTCCGAGCTGCGGGGCAAGAGGAGAGACTGTTGCCAGTACCCCAGGGGATGGGCAATTTGGTTTACCTGGGAAGTGGGGTGTTGCTAGAATCTTTTAATTCAGTTCTGAAAAGCAGAGCTTGCAACCTGTCTGGACTCTTCTAACTCTCCTGAAATCTTACCGGGTATACCAGTGGGGTCACAAAATGGAGTTCTTAAATTTTTAAAAATAAACTTTTAATTTTATTTATTTAATTTTATTTTTAAAGATTTATTTATTTGACAGAGAGAGACACAGCGAGAGAGGGAACACAAGCAGGGGGAGTGGGAGAGGGAGAAGCAGGCTTCCCGCCGAGCGGGGAACCCGATGTGGGGCTCGATCCCAGGACCCTGGGATCATGACCTGAGCCGAAGGCAGACGCTTAATGACTGAGCCACCCAGGCGCCCCTAAACTTAATTTTAGAATAATTTTAGATTTATGGGAAAGTGGCAAAGATACTGCAGAGACAAGCTCTTGATTTTTGACCGTCTTATATTAATTTTGTTTCCATGATGCAATCTGTCTGCTTTTTTTTTTTTAAGATTTTATTTATTTATTTGAGACAGAGAGAAGAGAGAGAGAGAGCATGAGCAGGGGGAGGGGCAGAGGGAGAGGGAGAAGCCCTGGGATCGTGACCTGAGCCAAAGGCAGACGCTTAACTGACCGAGCCACCCAGGCGCCCTGAGATCTGTTTGCTTTTGAGAACATTTTCTTCTGTAAACCTAATGCTCAACAGGGCAGGGCACACACTGTGCAATATATGCCGACAGGAACAACAGCCACACACAAGAACAGCCCTTTACAGTGTGCAAAGGGCTTTTGCATCTATTTTTTTTATCCTCCTGGGTTGTAAGTTCCATGAATTTCTTGTACACCTGTATCCCCGGGGAAAGCGCAGAGCCTAGAGCATAGCAGGTGCTCATTCAGTAGCTGGTGAATGAATGACTGAGGAAGTACTTGAACTCTACAGGGCAGATATGATTATATTACAGATGAGGGTGCTGAGCTCAGACAGCCTAAGTCATTCATCTAAGGTCCCAGCAGGTGTTGAAAAAGCTGGGATCTGAAGATTTATTTATTTTATTTTTAAGTAATCTCTACACCCACCGTGAGGCTCGAACCCACAACCCCAAGATCAAGAGTCACATGCTCTACCGACTGAGCCAGCCATGTGCCCCGCCCAACAAAGCTAGGATTTGAATTCAGGTCCCCTGGCCTCAGGGCCTACACCCTTTCCACTAGGCCATCGTTCATTTTTTTCACAAACACCTGTTGATTAAACGAGCACTTCTTTTCCTCGCGACACATCCACATTTGATGTATTTATTTGAAAGTTTTGATTTTGCTGCTTTGAAGGAACACGTGGGTAGGACCATCTCTCTGAAAGCGCTTCTGGGTCTTCCCATGTGTTTTCATTACCGGTAACTTCCAGCCACCACTGGCCGACGAGTCCAACCTTCTGCAGCAGCACGAGTCTGGTCTCAGCTCCAGCGCCTACGAGCTCAGCCAGTACATCGGCGATGCGTCTGAGATGTATGAGCCCAGGGCACCAGCAGCTTGGAGTCCAGTTCAGGCCGGTGGGTACTGAGGTGACCTAAGGAATGGGTGAAGTCTGATGAGAAGAGGGCCAGGTGGCAACCTCTGGGAAAGTCACCCTCCCTCCGTCCTTCCAAGAGTGGCTCACTGCCTGCCTCAACCACGCGTGGTGGTCTCCTGGGCAGAGGCGCCATTCTGGCTCCATTTCTCACCTTTTCTCTTGTCCTGGAGATTGCATCAGAACTGATTCTTGGAAGGGAACCCTACTTCTAGCCATCAGGGTCAGGCTGGGAGAGGAGGCACCGGAGATACTTTTATGTAACAGGTGCAGAAAGTGAAGACCAGAGTCAGTTTGGTAATGCAACGGCAGGCATACAAAACATAGCATAATTGTTTTGCTTGGAGGTAGGAGACGGGTCATGAGTACTGGGGCCATGAGAGTCAGAGTCCCCAGCCTCTCGCCATCATGGGGAGTCTGGGCCTGGTGCTTTCCCATTTGGACCAAACCATCAAATCCCACCTTATATTCTGACATATTCTGAGAGGCTTAATTCTGACTTGGAGCACATGCTTCTTCTAATTACTTATCTTGGCCCAGGTGGGATTTGGATAGAAACATGTCTGTGGTGTCCTTCTGCGGTAAAGACAAGCAGTCGCAGGAATGCTAACAGGGTGCCCCTGTGTCTTTTGGTCAGAGGATGTCTCGGCAGCTGGTCCCAAGGAGCCCATGAAGTTCTACATCCCTCATGTGCCAGTGAGTTTTGGGCCAGGAGGCCAGCTGGTGTGTGTGGGTCCCAGGTCTCCCAGGGATGGACAAACAGCCCTTGTGGAACTGCACAGCATGGAGGTAAACGAGATTCTGTGTCCCAGGAAGCTGGCAGGCTGCTGTCTGTTTCCCTCTGCCTGAGCCTGGGCATCTCTGGGAATGGGGTGCTCTTGGGGGATAGGGGGCCATGCACTCCATGGATGGGGGCATGTCTTGGGAAGGAAAGGGTAGGGATCTTCTCTCAAAGAAGTGAGGCTAGATTTATGTTTCTCCTGAGATGCTGTTGGCTCCCTTTCAGCAACTGGAGAACTCACTTTTGTCCTCCTGTGTCCCCCACAAGGCACTGAGCCACATCCCAGGACGGCAGCCATGGGTTCTGATATTGGACTTGACTGACGGGGGCCTTGGGTGGACATAGTCTCAAACGCCAAATCTGATTTTTCGTTCCAGGTTATTCTTAATTACTCCGAGGAACAAGAAGAGCTGAGGACTTTCTCAGGACCCCTAATCAGGTAAATTATCTTAAGAGCTGCCAAGTGAGGGTTTTTGAACCTACAAAATCTGCCTGCCCAGATCAGCATTTTGGGGATTTGTTTGGCTTCCTTGAAAGAAAATGTCTATCCCGCGTGGAGTAGAATACTCTGTGCAACAAGATAGAGACAAATGTGGCCTGAGCCATTTTGACAAGCAATTTGATAGTTGAAGGGCCGAGAGAAAAATTAAGATTAAAGATCTGAAAACAGTTCTATTTTGCAGGAGCTACACGGTAGGAGGTTTTAGCGTTCTGAGAACTTAATAGGTACTGGTAGAAAAGTGGAGCACAGCCTGGGAAATCACAGACAAGTGGTTTAGAGTGGGAAAAAAATTCTTGCCTTTTTTCTGGAGAGAGAAATAGCATGGTTCCTGTTGAGTTTCTGGATAGTGTGCACGTCTGCCCTCTGCAGGATTGAGCTAGAACTTCTTTTAAATTCCTAGTCCTGTTTCTGATAAATATTCAGGACACTCTTGCTGTGGAGAGAGTCCTGGCTGGAGTCAGAGGACCCCGGTCCTTGGTCCCTGCATCCTACTAACTAGAGGTCCCATGGCGGACAGGTCAGTTAGTCCTCTCTGAGCTTTAGTTTGCTGTTTAGGAAATGAGATAACACCACTGTGCCTGCTTTAAGTGTAGGGAAGCCCTGTATATATCATCACTACCATATAAACTTATTCTTATCCTGAAGCTTCTGCCACCAGGAAAAGCCCATAGTATTTTTTTAAAAGAATTTATTTGTTTACTTGAGAGAGAGAGTGAGAGAGCAGGAGAGAGAACACAAGCCGGGTTCGGGTGGGGGAAGAGGCAGAGGGAGAAGCAGACTCCCCACTGAGCAGGGATTCCCGAGGCAGGACTCGATCCCAGAAACCTGGGATCATGACCTGAGCTGAAGGCAAACACTTAACCGACTGAGCCACCCAGGTGCCCCAAGCCCATAGTATTTTGACAGTTCCTTCAAGTAAAGGTGAGCAACGAATCTATTTCTGCACACAGGTATACGGATGTGGGGTAGATTGCCGAGCTAGGTGTGTGGACGCTAGGGGGCTGGTCCCAATTTGACTGATATTATTGAATGACCTTGACCAAACAATATTTGCCCATTTATTGATTACTTAGTATATGCTACAAAATTTCCTAATTCCTTTTATATGGAGGTAGTTTTTTTCTCATTATCCCTATTTTAGGGGAAAAAGCAGAGGTTCAGACAGGATAAGAACCTTGTATAAGCTGAGAAGTGGCAGGCTGGATTTAAACCCAGGGTTGTCTGACTCCAAAGTCTGTGCTCTTGCTTGCTGTCCCGTGCAGTCCCTGGGCCTCAGTTTCTTCATCTGTAAAATGGAGAGGGTATACGAAGAATCTCTGAGGTCCCTTCCTGTTCTACAAGGAAACTACAGACTCAGTACTCCAGCCCTGGGTTATCTGGCTTCTCTCTCAGTCCCCCCACCCTCTGCTGGCATCCTCATAATGCAGAAGGAGCCCGTGGTCCTGTGCAGAGAAAGAGTCTGCCCCTCATTCTTTGCTCCCTGAAATCTCTCCATAGGGAAGATGTACACAAGGTGAACATCATGACATTTTGCCAGCACAAAGCAGCTCAGAGCCTAAAATCTGAGACAGAGAGGAGCAGAGACTCAGCTCTACTGTGGCAATTGTTGGTTCTCCTTTGTCGGCAGAACGGGGTAAAGTATTATCGCTCTGGTGGGTGGGCAGGTGCAGGCTGGATTGAAATTGAAGTCTTTCTGGGATAGAGAAGATTCGGCTTATGGCATGATTGTAAAAGATAACGTTAAAGAAGCAATGAATGGCCCACAGGGGGAAAAATTGCTCAGGTGTCAACCCCGTTTGCTAACCATAATCTTTTCCCTGCCCTTCTCCACTGGCCTGGGGTTATCGTACAGTTCTTGGGTCACTGTACCAACCACATAATACACCTGTAAGAGTGTGCATAGTTCTGGTAATCTCTGTGGCTCCCGACAGGCAGAAAGGACCTGAGAGTGAAGCTGAAGTTTGAAATACAACAATCCAAGAAAGGAAGGTCTTGTGTTTGCATGTCCTCCTCCTCATGGAGAAGGCAGGTGCTCTGGTGCTGGTACTGTGAGCACAAGGACAATAGGATTCTCCCTCAGGCTGACTCTCTTTGCCTTGTAGTCCATGGTGGGGTCTGACATCGCGGAACTGCTGATGCAAGATTGCAAGAAGCTGGAGAAGTACAAGAGACAGCCGCCGGTGGCCAACCTCATCAACCTGACGGATGAGGACTGGCCGGTGCTGAGCTCAGGGACCCCGAACCTGCTCACCGGGGAGATTCCCCCCAGCGTGGAGACACCTGCACAGATCGTAGAGAAATTCACTAAACTGCTCTACTATGGAAGGAAGAAGGCAAGTGTGGCCCCTCCATGCTGGTTTTTAAAAAATAACCACACCCCCACCCCCAATTATATGAGTAATATATATTCATTTTTTGGCACTTAAGACGTTCAGTAAGGTACAAACAAAAAAATTATATAGTCTTATCATTAAAAGATAACATCTTTTGGGCCACCTGGGTGGCTCAGTCGGTTAGGCATCTGACTTCAGCTCAGGTCATGATCTCAGCATCCTGGGATTGAGCCCTGTATCAAGCCCCGCATCGGGCTCCACAGAGAAAGACATATATCATATGACCTCACTGATATGAGGAATTCTTAATCTCAGGAAACCAGTTGAGGGTTGCTGGAGTGGTGGAAAGTGGGAGAGATGGGGTGGCTGGGTGATAGACACTGGGGGGGGTATGGGCTATGGTGAGCGCTGTGAATTGTGTGAGAGTGTTGAATCACAGATCTGTACCTCTGAAACAAATAATACATTATATGTTAAGAAAAAAAAAAGAAGATAGCAGGAGGGGAAGAATGAAGGGGGGGAAATCAGAGGGGGAGACGAACCATGAGAGACGATGGACTCTGAAAAACAAACTGAGGGTTCTAGAGGGGAGGGGGGTGGGGGGGATGGGTTAGCCTGGTGATGGGTATTAAAGAGGGCACGTTCTGCATGGAGCACTGGGTGTTGTGCACAAACAATGAATCATGGAACACTACATCAAAAACTAATGATGTAATGTATGGTGATTAACATAACATAATAATAATAAAAAAGATAAAAACAAAGAGAAAACAAGAAAAACAAAACAACAACAACAAAAAGGTTCTTCACATATACACTAAATTAGTTTCCAGAAAATTTGTTTACAGATGATGTCCCCACCAGCTATATCTAATGTTTGCCTACCAATATTGGATACTTTAACAGATGAAGTGATGTCCTGTATATTGTTTGATATGTAAATTAGACAATTTTAATCTTTATATTATTTATTCAAAAAAATTTTAATTGAGGTATTTGACAAAATTATAGGATATTTAACGTGTACAACATGATGATTTGATATACAAATATTACAAATACATTGTGAAAGGATCCTCCCCATGGAGTTAATTAATAACATTCATCACCTCACATACTTACCTATTTTTTTATGCCTTGTTTAATTTTGAAGTTGAACTCACACAAATAAAGATTTATTTATTTATTTATTTGTCAGAAAAAGAAAGAGAGAGAGAGCACGAACAGGTGAAGAGGCAGGCAGAGGGAGAACCAGGCTCCCCACTGAGTAGGGATTCCGATGCGGGACTCGATCCCAGGACCCTGGGATCATGACCTGAGCCAAAGGCAGACACTTAGCCAACTGAGCCACCAAGGCATCCCTCACATTTTACAAAAGTCTTAAAGGAAACGTAAATATTTGAATATATGACGGAAATCAATTTGAATCAATATGATTCAAAACTCAAAAGCTAAAAGGGATATAGTGGGGAAAATGATGCCCCCATCCTCTCGGCCACTGAATTGCTATCTTTGAAATATCCAGAGATATTTTCTGCATACATAATTATTTTCTCCATTTTTAACAGCTTACTATATACCATTTCTTTTCTTTTTTTTTTTTTTTTTAAGGTTTTAAGTAATCTCTACACCCAACATGGGGCTCGAACTCACAACCCCAAGATCACGAGTCTAAAGCTCTACAGCCAGGCACCCTCTATCTACCATTTCTTCACTTTTTTTCATTTTTTTTTTAAGATTTTATTTATTTATTCATGAGAGACAGAGAGAGAGAGAGAGAGGCAGAGGCAGAGGGAGAACAGGGTCCCTGCAGAGCAGGGAGCCCGATGCGGGACTCGATCCCAGGACGCTGGGATCATGACCTGAGCCAAAGGCAGACGCTCAACCGACTGAGCCACCCAGGCATCCCCACTTTTTTCATTTAACAAAATACCTTAGAAAACACTCTATATTGGGATTGTTTTCTGTAAAAGGACAGACAATAAATATATATATATATACACACACATACATAAAATGTTATTGATTTAAGTAATCTCTACACCCAATGTGGGGCTCGAACTCCTGACCCCGAAATCAACAGTCAGATGCTCTTCAAACTGAGCCAGCGAGGCGTCCCAGACACTAAATGCAGGTTTTGCAGGCCATTTGCAACTGCTCAGTTCTGCTATTGTCAAGTAAAAGCTGCCACAGACAATATATAAATGAATGGGTGTGGCTGTGTTTTATTTATGGACATAGAAATTGGAATTATATATAATTTTCACGTGTAATGAAGTATTATTCTTTTTCTGATTTTTTTCTCCAGTCATTTAAAAATGTGAAAAGTTATCCTTCGTTTGTGGGCTGTACCAAAAATAGACAGTAGGCTGAATTTGGCCTTCAGGCCACATTTTCCTGATTCCTGCTCCTTTTAACATATAAATACCTTCTTCATTATTTTCTATGGCTGCACAGATTTCTAAAGATAAATTATAATTAATTTAACTAAACCCTGATAGATTGACATGTAGATGATTTAACAGTCTTTTGCTATTACAAATAACACTGCAATGACAACGAAAGTCATTTTGCCATGTGGGAGAATATACATATGATTTCTAGAATAGTTCCTGGAAATAGAAGTGTTGAGTCCAAGGGTATATAGCTTGAAATTTTGAGGAAGTGACAAGTTGCCTTTTTAGAGGTTTCACCGATTACTTTACCAGCAATACATGAGAGTGCCCGTTTTCCCACTCTCACCAACTCGGTGTGTTTCCAAGCTTTTAATATGTGCCAATCTGAGAGGTAAAAAAATGTATATATAATTTAGTGTAGTTATTTTCATTTCCCCTATTATAAGTGAAGTCTAATATCTTTCAATCTGTGAATTTTTTTGTGATGGATTTTCTACATTTTTCTGTCTGATTTTTGATCTCCATTTATTGATTTGTAGGAGCTCTTTCCTTTTTTAGGACTTTCTGTACAAAATTACTTTTTTGGGGTGATATTTAGAAAGGCTTTCCTAGGGGCACCTGGGTGGCTCAGTTGGTTAGGCGACTGCCTTCAGCTCAGGTTATGATCCTGGAGTCCCGGGATCGAATCCCGCATCGGGCTCCCTGCTCAGCAGGGAGTCTGCTTCTCCCTCTGCCCCTCCCCCCTCTCATGTGCTCTCTCTCTCATTCTCTCTCTTTCAAATAAATAAACAAAATCTTAAAAAAAAGCTTTCCTACTTTAAAATTAAGTTATGAAAATAAAGTTCAAGTACTTTTGTGACTTCACCTTTACATTTGAATTTTTAATCTCTGTTTACTTGTATATGATGTTATATTTTGTTTATCTTTAAAAGATTTTATTTATTTATTTGAGAGAGAGAGGAGCACAAGTGGGGAAGGGGGCAGAGGAGGAGGGAGAGGGACAAGCAGACTCCCTGCTGAGCGAAGAGCCAGATGTGGGGCTTGATCCTAGGACCTTGAGATCATGACTTGAGTTGAAGTCAGGCGCTTAACCAACTGAACCACCCAGGCGCCCCAGTGATGTTATAGTTTAAAATGAATGCAAGGCATGATACTCAGTGAAAATCAGTGGGATCATATGCTAGCCATCCCCTGTTCACTATATAGTAGGGACCTGCAATTTCACCAGTGATTTATTTATTCAGTAAACATTTATTAAGCAGCCACTACTTTTTTTTTTTTTAAAGATTTTATTTATTTATTTGACAGAGACACAGCAAGAGAGGGAACACAAGCAGGGGGAGTGGGAGAGGGAGAAGCAGGCTTCCTGCGGAGCAGGGAGTCCGATGCAGGGCTCGATCCCAGGACCCTGGGATCATGACCTGAGCCGAAGGCAGATGCTTAATGACTGAGCCACCCAGGTGCCCCAAGCAGCCACGACTTCTAAGGCGTTGAACCCCGTTGGGGGATACAGAGATAAATCAATAATAATCTCTTTCCTTAAGAAAGATTAAGTAAGGGTGCCTGGGTGGCTCAGTTGGTTAAGCGACTGCCTTCGGCTCGGGTCATGATCCTGGAGTCCCGGGATCGAGTCCCACGTCCGGCTCCCTGCTCAGCAGGGAGTCTGCTTCTCTCTCTGACCCTCCCCCCTCTCATGCTCTCTCTCTATCTCATTCTCTCTCTCAAATAAATAAATAAAATCTTTAAAAAAAAAAAAAAGATTAAGTAATGACCATAACAATAACAATAACAAAAGCAAATATTTAAAAAAATTTTCTCTGTACCAGGCACTTACTTAACATGTTCCATGCATTGTCTCATTTATCTTCATAGAAACCCCTGTTAGATTGGGTTCTATTCTTGTTTTATGTACTTACAAATGAGGAAAGTTACTGAGTAATAAAGCCAGCATTCAAATCTAGGCAGCCTGATGTCTGAGCTTGGGCTTCTAACCATCCACCACACTACCTGTCATACCTGGGCCCAAAGGTGAGCCAGGAATAGGAAAAGTACTCTGGGAGTTCAGAATGGCTCATGAGGGGCTGGAGACCAAAATATCTTTCATATCTTTATTAATATTTGACTGGCGTCTCATCTCTGGCACTGTGTGAGATTAATATCCTCAAGGTAATTTCCCAGTTTCTCCACTTACTCTTAAATTATATTTTTGGAGATGCAAATTTGTGAGCAAAGTGGTGATACCCAACCAATTATTAGTAATTCCCTTAAAAAAATACTGTTGTGAAATAGTTTAACATATGAAAAGAGTAACTCAATGTCATTTTTCCTTGTAGCGGATGTGAGGCTGAATTTCCTAATGGTAGTGGTTTAAATTTGTTCTCTCTCTTCAAATAAGATAGTGTGGGAGATGTTGGGATGATCAAAGAAATTTGCACCTGGAGTTCAAGTTACCTCATTAGTGACTTCCTGTCCAAAAATCACATTATTTTTGAGTACTAAGGAAATTATTAACACCAGGTCAAAACCTCAAATATAAATTAAGCTCTTACTAAATAATTCTGAAAATTGAATGAAAAGATGAGTGTGAGTGTGTCTTTGTGTGTGTGAAAATTTACAGCTTCTTACTGATCTCACCAAGTTAGCGGTGTCATTCATTTGGCATGTGAAGTTGATAGCTAACAAACACTTGGTTGTTAACAAGCAATTAGTTATAATATTAGGTGGGGCAGATTAACTGCTATGCACACTGGCTTAAACACTTCTTTCTATTCACATGGGAGCCCTGGGCAGGTGAACAGAACGGCGGGGCAGCCCTCCTCCATGGAGTAGTTCAAGGACTCCGCATGGAGGAAGCTGTACCATCTGAGCATCTTCCGTCCAGCCAGCCCGATGGGAAAAAGGGCATGCGGGACCGGGCAAGGGGCTTCCAGGAGCCAGATGTGGGAGAGGCACACATCACTTCTGTTCTCGAGGGAAGGCTGGAGAAGGGACAGCGTGCCAGTTAGAGCCCCCTTCTCCACTGTTGCCCTGGCACACTCACGGTTGGGGCTCCGAGTCTTCCTGGGAGCCCAGCGGGCATGGCTCGGGGGTGGCGGTACCCAAACACCGTCACGTGTTGTCAGCAGAGGATGATGAGGAGGGCCATGCTGAATGCGATGTGTTGTTTTCAGGAAGCCTTGGAGTGGGCCATGAAGAACCACCTGTGGGGTCACGCTTTGTTCCTCTCCAGCAAGATGGACCCAAGGACCTACAGCTGGGTTATGAGTGGGTGAGTGAGCTGGGCGCTGGCAAAGGAGACCAATGGAGCAGAGAGGCCTCCCCCCAACCAAGGGAGGGGTGGTGGGGAGAAATGCAAGATGCGCTGGGAAGCCCCACACACCAAGCATCCTTCCAATTTCTCTTTTCTGACCCGGACGTAGGATATCACTTCTCTAGATTCTTATAACCTAGACCTGGACACATTCTTTCTACCTGCTTGATAAATAAACATTTTAGTAATATTTCTCAGGGTGTGTTCCAAAAGTTACATAGGTTTCTACAATCTAGTAGTTCTCTTTGGGAGGGGCTATTCTAGATAGTTCCACCAGTGAGGGAATAGATGACCACTTATGGCTAACTGGCAGGAGCTTAGACCCGAGAGTTAGGAGTTGTCTATCACTTAGTCTTGCAGTGGGGAATGTGGGTGCTGAGAGGAAGGTCAGGATATGGGCGAGCAGTAGGAACGGGCTTTATAGGACTGGGGATTGGATGCGGCAGTCTTCATCTAGGGCAGGGGGACATGACGAGACCTAAGGGATGTGTTTAGTTGGAGATCATGCCGGCACATCGAGACCAGGAAGAATGCCCAAACCAGGACGAGACAGGATGGGAGGTTGACTACATGGCCAGGAGTTTGGAATAAGGGGGAGTAGGTGGAAGAGCTGGGTGTTGGGGTGCTGGAGGAGGAAGGGTTTCTGAGCAAGCTCAGATCCATGGGAGGGCAGGGACAGACATATGGTGGGGTGGAGAGGACTGTAAGGGGCAGGCTTGGATCTGACAGGGAAAAAGGATGTTCCCTCAAAATGTTCATTTTCCTGTGTTGGTGGAAGCTGTGAAGCTGTGAACCTCTCAGCTGAACTCAAGTTTAAATTGGCCATAAATGGGCAGTTGGCTGGGAAGATCGCACTTGCCTTCAAGGCTGTCATGTTACCCTTCTCCATCCGTGGATTCTCTTTTCTACCCTAACCCTCAGTCTTCCCAGGGACTAGGAATGCCTCTGCGCACTTCATTATGCTCAGGGTGGTGAGGAGCACTGGAGTTTTATTATAAGTGCTCCGAGCTCCCAAGGCAAGGGTGCTATTAAGTAAAAGACCATATTCTGAGGGATGATTCTCCTTTGGGTTTTGGAAATGAACATCCTACAATCCCACGTTAGAGCATACATCTCTGCTACAGATTTTTGCCTTGGGCCATTGATTTTTGATGTGGCCCAGTGAGTTGTGAAGAATATCTCTTACTGAGTGTGCTTAAATCTCAAATCAGCTATGGAGCTTATTATATCCTTGTTAAGCATATCCCACGGTTTGTCATCGGCGGGATCATTTCTGGTCCCTGTTCTACGCCTCTTTGGTTACTGGACACGGCTATTTAGTGCTTGTGCAGAAAAGCACTGCCGAGCCAGTCTAGTCGTGAGCCAGAGAAGCCAGCCTGAGCGCCGTGGGCGGTGCATGCGGGGGGCTGCTTCAGGGGAGGAGGAGCTGAGGGGGACAACTGGGAGGAGGGGCCCCCGGAGAGGAAGTTTGGGTTAACTGCTGGGGCTCTCCGGGGACCTGTGAAATGTTGGGGCATCATTTCCATGACAAAGAAAGCCTAGAGAAATGGTTACTCAAGAGTTAGGGCATCAGTGCCAAAGTGCAGGAAATACCCCCAATAGTGAGCTCTCTGGGGGGGGTGGAAGGAAGATCCTGCCAAGCCCCCCAAAAGTGGGAGGTAGCAGAGGCACAACTGAGAGGCAAAGAGAAATTTGTATTCCAAAAGTAGGTGCTGAAATCAAATAGAAATATACGGGAGCTTTTGCGCCACTGGCAATGGGTAAAAGGCCCTCTTGGCTTGGTCACCACTAATGGTCACCTCTCTCTGCAGCTTCACCAGCACGCTAGCCGCCAACGACCCACTGCAGACCCTCTTCCAGTTCATGTCGGGGAGGATCCCACAAGCAGCCACGGTACTCTTTGTGACGGGACTCCTTCAATACCCCAGCATCCTAGGGGTTTAGGGGGTGGGGACAGCTCGGGAATGAGGTGATGACTTTAATGATTTTTCTTTTTATTTTTAGAGAGGGGATAGAGGGGGAGAGAGAGAGAGAGAGAATCTCAAGCAGACTCCCTGCTGAGCGCACCTACCGTGCACTTGGCCCTGTGCTGAGCACTTGGCTTCATATTATTTCATTTAATGCACAGAGGTAGGAATTATTGTCCCCGTTTTGCAGATGTGGAAACTGAGGTGCAAGGGTTAAAATGACCTGAGATCACAGAGCTTGGAGAAGTGGAGCCAGGATTGGCTCAGGTCTGTCTGATCCAAAGACCTTGCCCTTTCCACGGTCGCACAGCTGCCTGCATGGTGTGCATGGATAGTGAGAGAGCGCGCTGTTCCCAGGCTTCCCACAGCGAAGCTGCCCTTCTTTCCCACCGCTGCACACGGAGCCTGCAAAGCTGGACATATTCAATCTTACACATTGTCTGGAGTTGGATATAGCTCAGGAGAAGTCTGAGGCCAGCCTAATGTTTTTCCCATGAAAACAGACTTGATCTTTTTGCCCCAAAGTACCCTTCTTTATCCTTGAAGTCGGTAACCTTACTGGGATCTATCTTGGTGTTGACTCTCCGGGTCAATTTTTTTCCTTGGTACACAGCATGCTCTTTAATATCTGCGTTCATATTTTACAGTTCAGGAAAGTTTTCTTGAATTATATCCTTCAATATTTGTTTTGTTCCATTATTTTGGTTTTCTTTCAGGAATTCCATGTATGCAGTTTCATATATATATGAATATATACATATACACAGGCAGATTATATGTATATCATTTTCTCTTTAATTAAAACATTTTTGGGGGGGCACCTGGGTGGCTCAGTCGTTAAGTGTCTGCCTTCGGCCCAGGTCATGATCCCAGGGTCCTGGGATCAAGCCCCACATCGGGCTTCCTACTCCTCGGGGAACGTGGTTCTCCCTCTCCCTCTCCTCCTGCTTGTGTTCCCTCTCTCATTGTGTCTCTCTCTGTCAAATAAATAAATAAAATCTTAAAAACCAAAACAAAACACTTTTTGTTTCCTTCCTTCCTTCCTCCCTCCTTCCCTCCTTCTCTCTTTCTTCATCCTCTTCTCCCCCTTCTTCTTCTCCTTCTTCTCCTCCTCCTCCTTCCCCTTCTTCCTCTTCTTCTTCTCCTCCTCCTTTTTCCTCTCCTCCTCCTCCTTTTTTTTCTTCTTCTTCTCTCATTTCCATCCTGTGTGTCCCTTACTGTGTTTTCGTCAGTGTCTCTTCATTGTTGTGCTCTTGCCATTTTTGTCTTGATTTCTTTGATTTTTTCCACTTCTTCCCTGAGCTCTGCAGGTCACATTTACCTCTTCCTCTTGTCTGCTGTCTCTTTCTTGAGCTCTTGTAACTTAGCTTTAGGCCCTTGCTTCATAAGAAATTGTTTCATTACTTTACTTAAATTCATGATGAAATGTTTGCTGATACTTTTTTTTTTTTTTAAAGATTTTATTTATTTGACAGAGAGACAGCGAGAGAGCGAGAGAGGGAACACAAGCAGGGTGAGTGGGAGAGGGAGAAGCAGGCTTCGCGCTGAGCAGGGAGCCCGAAGCGGGGCTCGATCCCAGGACCCTGGGATCATGACCCGAGCC